CAGTGAAACCCCGCCCTCCACCCTTGTGCAGCCACCAGAAGAAGAGGACAGGACTGTATCTGAGTAAATGTAGATTGTTGTACATGAAAAAAAAAAACCATCCCCTGAAAATAAGCCCTAATGTGTTTTTTTGAAGCAAAAATTAATATAAGACCCTGTCTTATTTGGGGGGAAACACGGTATAAAACCCTAAATGGCTTGCACCAAAGCTACCTCGGGGAAGGTATACCCCCTTTATGAGCCTGCTTGGGTCTCAAGATCATTAGGACAAGCCCTTTCTGCTTTGGATCTTGCCCACTTTCACAGGTGTATCTTATGGGGACATGGAGGCAGGCCTTCTCTGTCCCTGCAGGCAGACTCTGGAACTCCCTCCCACTGGAGGCCAGGCTGGGCCCATCTTTGCTCTCCTTCCCCAAACAAAGCCCTTTCTCTTCAAGAAAGCTTTTCCTTAAGGACTGGTGGTCTGAGAGGGGTTTTTAATGGATTGTTGCGCTCTCTTTGGTTTTAAATGTGTTTTTAGTATTGATTTTAATTACTGCTTTGAATGCATTTTTGGAGGTGCTTTCATTTACAGATGTTTAGTGTAGTATTTGTTTGAGCCTTTTTAGCATTAGCATAGTTACTGTTTTTAGCTTTAAATATTGTCTTTTAATGTTGTAAGGCACCTTGTGTGCTCTTTAAGGAGAAAAGGGTAAAAAATTTGTGTAGTTTCACAACATTTGTAAAGCAGACAATGCAAAACAGATTTATTGATAAAGAACAAAAGGAGTTAGCTTAATTAATCCTAGAAATTGTTTGCAACAGCTTAATTCTTCTCTGGGCTCCCAGCCTTTGCACTGTGCGCTACTAGGATGATCCGTGGGGGTGAAGGAGCCAGGGGGCAGAAGCTCAGTCCGTGTTGCAACCCACAACAAGATTGTCACCTTGCTGTCTCCGGAGGGGATGCGGAGGTCTGTGCTCACTCCTCCTTTTGTGTTTGCACTCAGTTGAAGCAGCAGCCCAAAGCAGTGGTGGCCTCACAGCTGGAAGCCAGCTGGGGGCCCCAGAGACCCGTCTGACCAGGAAGCAGTGGAGGAACCGCCAAACCAACAAGCGCCGGCAGAAGAACAAGTTTCGGGCTGGAGCGGGGATTGGTTCAGAGGCCAAGGGAGTAGGTCTGGACCAGCCTTGTGTGGGAGCCCCAAGCGAGGAGCCTGCTGGTGATCAGGGAGAACAGGACCCCTCGGCATCCATGGCCACGGAGCTCCCCACCAGTCGGGCCGCCTCCCTACGGCAGCGCCTGGAGGAGCGCCTGGATTCTGCCCGCTTCCGGTACATCAACCAGCAGCTCTACACCTGCTCCAGTCAAGAGGCAGCCCAACTTTTTCAGGAGGACCCCGAGGCCTTGGCCGTCTATCACCGGGGCTTTGCCCGGCAAGTGGCCCGCTGGCCAGAGAAGCCGGTGCAGCACTTTGTGCGCTACCTGCGTAACAGGTAAGGTGGGAAGACTGGGCCCCGTCTCTCCTGTGGCGCTTCATGCACTGCAAAGACACACACTCATGGAATCTGTACATCAACAGGCATTGTGTGTGTGTGTGTGTGTGTGTGTGTGTGAAGTGGGGGCGGGGGGGGAGAATGTAGACGGAGTGTGTGCCAATTCAGAGGACTGTCTTGGGCTTTTGCTTCTCCTTCTCCTGCCTTCCCCAGGCCAGCATCACTGGTGGTAGCAGACTTTGGCTGTGGGGATTGCACTCTGGCACGCAGCCTACGGAACAAGGTGCATTGCTTTGACCTGGTTGCTCTGGACCCACAAGTCACCGTATGTGACATGGCTCAGGTATGTCCACCCTGTGTTTGGCCAGCCCCGCCTCTTGGACTTTGAGGGGGGGGGCTTCATGCTGTGTGGCTCCCTGACCTTCCGGTTTTCCCTGCCTGCTTCTTTTGACCCAGGTCCCCTTGGAAGCAGAATCAGTGGACGTGGCTGTCTTCTGCCTGGCCCTCATGGGTACCAATCTGTGTGAGATCCTGGAGGAGGCCAACCGTGTGCTGCGTGTTGGGTAACTCACTGCTGGGGAGACGGGGGACATTGGAGAGGGTGCTTTGGCTGGACTTTTGGTCAGTGAGCTGTGGGTTCAGTTAAGTACAGTGGAGCCTCGCTTAACAACAATAATCCATTCCAGGAAAATTGCCGTTAAGCAAAAACATCATAAGACGAAATTAAAAACCCAATTGAAACACATTGAAACCCGTTCAATGTGTTCCAATGGGGTAAGAACTCACAGTCCAGCGAAGATCCTTCATACGGCGGCCATTTTTGCTGCCTGTATAGCGAGGAATCCGTCCCTAAACACAGCGGGGAGCCATTTTAAGCACCCGGGGGCCACTTTGAAAACCTGACGATCAGCTGTTTTGATCATTGTAATGCAAAGAAGTGGTTCCCAAAGTCTAAAAACCCCATTTAGACCATCATTTTGTGATCGCAATTGTGATAGCAAAAAGATCATCATACAGTGATTTCGTTGTAATGCGGGGCAATCGTTAAGCGAGGCAGCACTGTATTTGGCATCAGTTAATTGACATATTTAATTCGCAAACTCAGAAACAAATTTGGGTTAGTGGTTTAATGGAAAGTAGTGTACAATACATTAACAGAGAGATTTAAAGCCTTACCATTAGTATTTTCTCTTATAAGTAACATACAGGGAGGGAAACACAGGCTCAGAGGTAGACAGATGAATGGTTCACGCTTAATAAGAACTGACCAAGCAGCTTAAAAATATTAATACAAAAAATAAATTACAAATAATAGGAATAAGACTAAAATAGAAACTCAGTAATAACTACACACAATACACAACAAACATTTCCCACTCATGTCACCTTCACCCTTGATACTAGGTAACCAATATCAGTTTGTACCCCTTTTCACCCCATTTCTCTCCAAAAATACACTGATTCTTCAGCTGGCATATAGCCAGCAAATCTTTGAACTCATTAGACTTTATCATTCTTCTTCTTATTTTCATTTCACATGTTAACTTACCATTAATTGCTAAACTTCACATTTTTTACACCAATCTTCAAGATTCATTTATCACTTTTCCAATTCTATGCAAATATTACTCTTGCTACTGTAACCATTATAAAACTCTTTTTTCAAATGGTCCTTAATTATATTTAGGAGAGCAACAATTGGTGATATCTGGATATTGTATATTTTTTCTAATTTGTTTAAAAACCAGTGCCCATTCTTTCTTTCTTATGGAAGAATTTGAGGTGGTGGCGGTGGCGGCGCGGGGGTGGGGTGGGGGCTCTGTTTCCCTGACTCCTTCAGATTTACAGCAAAAAGTATGAAACCCTAACCTTTAATGTACTGAAACTAAACAGTTACTTGTAGCAAAAGAAAGAACTGAAAATGCACGTAATCTTGGCCTCTGGAAATCATAATTTCTTTGACTGATGTCGTGGGATGATTTTGGCAGCAGGAGAACTTGTGCATAAGCAGAGAACCCACAAACCCACTGCAGGGATGGGGGCAGGAACAATCCAGGGCTGCCAGAAGCCCCAGGCCCTGCCTCTGCGGGGGACGGGCTTTGTCAGGGCGATGATGATGATGATGATGATCGGGTGCTTTCCGAAGGGGCGGGGGATGGGGCCACTGGCTACCAGCCATGTGATGGGGGGATGGAGGAGGAGGCTGTTGCCCACCTTAAGGGGCGGGGTCCAGCCTGCTTGGTCTTTGGGGAGAGGGCTGGCTTCCCTGCTGCCCGCCGACGACCCAGGCTCTCCTTCCCTCCTTCCTTGCCCGCAGGGGGACCCTGCTGGTGGCCGAGGTGGCCAGTCGCTTCCCGGACGTGCGAGCCTTCGTGGGGGCGCTGGCCCAGCTGGGCTTCAGG